CACAGCAACCTGAGCCTGACTGCTTTGTTGAAGCAGCCACTTAAGGAACTGAGCTAAGGGGCAGGGGCAGGCCCCCAACTTTGTCATTTGAAAACCCGTACTCCAGTTATAGTTACTACATACTGTGTCACATGCCTCTTTATACAGTGGAGTTTTGTGGGAGCAGTGAAGATTGGATGTCTTTCTCTTTTGAGAAAGTGCTCTTTCATTATACTTTAGAACTTCTGTTTATATTCATTTTAGTCTTTTTGATTTAGATTTTAGTTTTTAATTGCATAATGCTAACACTTTAGAAGTTGAAATAAGAGGCAAGAATAGGTGTCCATTTCTAGCATGACTGTTGAGAAGAAATGAGATAATTTATTATAGGTATATTTTTATAAACTTTCATCTGTTTCCTGTTCTGTAAAATGAAGTAATAAAACATGGCTCATTTAATGTAGAAATTTTGTGGATGAATAAATGCCAGTTTATTGTTATGTATTGGTAATTTAGAAGATGACCCTTGAACTGAAAATGTTAATCCATTTTGACAGCAGATTTTGTGATGGAAGTAGCTTTTTTATTATTTGACACTTTTAAATTTGTTTAGGCCCGAAAGGACACTGAAGAGGGAGAAACATTTTCATCTGTCCACGCCAGTTTAAATAAAGCAGAAAAACATAAACATTCTCAAAAAGGTAATAGTAACAGAGGAAAGTAAGAGCGTTTGTTTTTATAGGATTTCCAATAACCTTGCTTTAAGACATTCTGTTTGATAATTGTATTTCTAAGTGGACATTACTTTATAAAATGATTAGATTAAGTTCTCTTTAGATATAGCCATTCCTAGGCTTATGACAGGGTTATGTTACAATAAACATCATAGATTGAAAATAACCTAAGTGGAAAGTATGTTGGATGCACTCTTGTTCACAGCGTGGCTTAGCAGTGCAGTGCACTATATAGCGTCTTGCCACCACCGCCCACCATCTCTAGGGAGAACCATCATGCATATTGCTAGCTGGAGGAAAGGTCAAAATTCAGAATTCAAGTTGTAGTTGAAAAATGAAAGATCAAGGGCCAGAGAGATGGCTCAGTAGAATAAGTGCTTACCTGGCAAGTGTAAGGGCCTAAGTTCAATCCCTGGTTCCGCCAAAAAAAAGAAAAATGAAAGATAATACAATGAACCAGCATTAAGTTGGGGACTGTCAATGTTTTGAAAGCCGTTTGGTTACTAACTCAGGGAGAATGCCCTTCTCTTCTGTGATTGTGGGAAATGTATTGTGGCCGTTGGTCTCATGTTCATTTCTGAGTATATTGCAACATGTAGACCTAAGAATGTGAAGACAGCTTAATGGTTTGAGTTTTTCATGTTGGAGACAGTCATAGGAGCCAACTTACAAAGATAGGAATGAAAAGTATAGTGAATGTTTAAGTTTAAAAAAATTATTATAATAAAACACATTGCTCTTCATCACCCTCAGAATACTCTTCCTTGCTTTGAGCACACCAGTTATTAAGTAATCCTAGAAGTATTTTTCATGCCTTTAATCGCACTATTGTAGCTGCTTTCGTATCCTGAATCCATTCAAAACATTCAGAACCTTTCATGGTCATTTTGGTGTTAGAAACAGAAATTTTAACATTGCCAGATCTGGTAATTAAGGTGGCTGAAGACACACACTCTGATGTTTTTATGAGACTGTCTTTCTGTTTGTTAGTACTCAGCAGCAGCATGTCCATATTTTTGGTCATACCTCATAAAAAAGTCGTGAAAGTGCATTTCTACAACTGCTTCAGAAAATGGCAAGAACCATGGGATAATGTGTTCAAAGTGAGGGAGGGTGTTTGGAAGAATTAATGGCACTGTATCTTTTACAATACATTTAAAAAATTTAAACATATTTAAATTTTACATTTCACCACATATTTTCCCCGTGTGTAATTGTGTAGGTCATCTGAATGTTCTCTATTGCCTGTCTTTCTTGGTCCTGAGTGAATCATCTACTAGTACAGTTTTTTCTTGTTACTTGTGGAGGATGGGTTCCAGGACCTCTGGAGAGAACAAGTCTCTTACATAAAGTGACATTGAGTTTACATATGAGCTATGCACAGCTACCTGTATACTTTAAATCATCTCTAGATTACTTATAATACCTAAGAAGTATAAATGCTAACATAGCTCTTATACTGTATTGGAGAATGATGACCAAAAAAAATCTGTACACACTCTGTACAGAACCAATTTATTAAAAAAAAAAAAAAAAAAAAAAAAAAAGAATGGTGGTTGTTTGAGTCCATGGATGTGGAATCCGTGGATATTAAGAGCTGGCTGTATAAATGATCTTAATTCTGTAAGTAAATCTGTTTATATAGTATATTTTGGTTTTGACTCATGCAGATTTGAGCTTTCAACAATTATATCTAACATTTATCTAGATTATATCTGACATATTCTAATCAGTGAGTTTTCTCTGTAAGTTTTGGCACATCTTTGTGTGAGATGAAGGCCTTCTCTTTAAATGTTGGTTACAGTATTATATTGAGACATGATTAGTTTATATTTAAATGGCAGGCACATCTCTTAAATTGAACTGGTTATACAGGGGCTGGGGATCTGGCTCAGTGGTAGAGCTCTTGCCTTGCCTCACAAGGCTCTGGGTATGACCCCTAGCATCACAAAATAAACAGAAAACCCCAAAGAAATAATACAGATGTTTAAGTTGAAATAATATTATATAAACTAAATAGTTAAAATATTAATGTTTAAAATCACCATATGAAACTGTGGCTACTAAGATCACTTAAAAAAAGTGAAAAAAATATTGATACTCTATCATTCTCAAAAAAACAATCATCATTATTTTTTCTTCCTGGTAAAAACAGAAAAATTTTCAAACGTGAGAAAGAACTACAGTCCTAATAAGCAACCTAAATGCAAAAGCTCAAAAGAATCTCCACAACATTCCAAGTCATCAGCTAAGAAAATAGAACCCTCTTCTCCGAAGGCTAGTTCTAAACTGGCCCTCATGAAAACACAAGAGATTTCTTATAAAGAAGCAGAGCCCATGCCCTCAAAAAGAAAAGAAAATGCCACTGAATTGAAAGGAGAGAAAAAAACTCCTAAGAAAACCAAAAGTTCTCCAGCTAAAAAAGAGGTAGGAACTTTCTGGGAAGTGTTTATATTGGTACCTTGTGTTGATCTGAGTTAGTTTGTTTTCAAGTTTTATTCCCAACTTCTGCAGTTCTTTTTAGGATAATATTTAGAGGCTGGGTGTGTAGCTCAGTGCTATAGTGCATACCTAGCTTGTGTAAGACCCTGGGTTTGATTCCCAGAAGATAGCTCATTTAAAGCTACTTCAGAGTATGGAATTAATTGCTAAATTAGCCATTGTTGTTCTGTATCAGGCATTGTGCTAATGTTAGATGCAGCTTCTTATAATCTTCACAATAACCCTTTAAGATACTCATTATTCGTGTTTTAAAGATGTAGAAATAGGCTGAACGATGAATTTTACGTAACTTTCCCAATATTTCCCAGGTGTTAAGTGACAGAGCCAGCCTTGAACTCAGGTCTGCTGAGTACAGAACGAGCAGTGGAACACAGTGTCTCCAAACGTGGACTGTGGAGCACTTCCGATCACAGTCCTCCTGCTGAGCAGGCGTGTGACATTTGTCTGGTTACTGCTCTCAGTGCATGGGTATTTGCTTAGAGGTAGTAATTGGACCAGTGTATTACTATAAGACTACTTAGAGGAGAGTCAAGGATATAAGTGTTTGTTATTACAATAAATGTTATTTGGATTTGTCCTGAATTCATTCCTTTTTGTTCCTTTTAACCTTATTGTATATTTGAGATACATGATATTTGCATTTATTTTGCATATATTGTTGCATATGCATATATTTTGATGTTTCCTTCCCCTTCACTCTCCTCACTTCAGAAACTATCTCCCCATTTTCTGCCATCTCTCATTTATTTGTATTTTGGGTTTCTCGGAAACCATGTGATAGTACATTTTCTGTGTCTGACTGACTTTGTTTAACATTATGGGCTCAAGATCCACTCATTTTTCTGCAAATTCTGCAAATTCAGGCTATGATTAGCACTTAGTGGTATTCTTTAAAGTTTTATATTGTACTTGTTTGTTGCTAGTTTGTAAAATACAGTAGATATTCTCTAAAGTGTATATTCTTTATATGATATGATTTTAGTGGACTCAGAATTTTGGGGGGCCTTTATTTCTAGTCCTTACTTCACTGCACTGTCCAGGATGCCCGGTTCAGTGGTGGGTAGAGGGGGCGTGGCACCCTGCTGTGCCCTTACTCATGAGGGGGAGGGGGAGCTTCATCCTTCTTCCTTCACGAACTGCAGTGTGTGTTCAGGAAATGCCTTCTATCAGGTTGAAGAGATTCCCTTCTATTCCTTGTTGGCTGAGAGGTTTTTTTGTTTGTTCCTTTTTAAAAAACAGTTAAGAAGGGTCTGGGGATGTAGCTCAGCAGCGCAGTGCCGCCTGGCAGGTGCAAGGTCCTAAATTCCGTTCCTGGTACAACCCCCCAAAAACAAACAAACAAACAAAACCACCTAGCAGCAACAAAAAACAGGAATAGAGTTGAATGTCACCATTTTTTTTTTTCTTCTACATCTTTGGAAATGATATGGTTTTCCTCTTTAATTCTGTTAATATAGTGAATCACACTGATTTAAAAAATAAACCATAATTTCATTTGATTTTCCAGTATTTTGTTAAGAATTTTTGCAGATATGTTTGTGAGATAGTTTGCTTATAAAGCCTTTATCTGCTGTCAGCATTGTGCTGATGTGATAAAATGAACTGAACATTGCTCTGTTTGCTTAAAGAGTTTGTGGACCACTGATATTACTTGCCTTAGATGTTTGATAGATTCTATTAATTAAAACCTGGTACAAGCCTAGATTTGGGGCTGGGGTTGAAAGTTTGAAATTATTAATTATATGGGCTGGTGAGATGGCTCAGTGGTCTAAAGCACCTACTTAGAACAAGCTTAGCAAAGCATAGGGACCGCGGTTCAATCCCCCAGCACCACATGCCAGCCAGCCTGCCCCCTGGTGGGCTGAGCTGGCCACACACACACACACACACACACACAAATACACAAATAAATAAATAAAATTTAAAAAAATAATACATTTAAAAAAATTATATACCAGATACAGGGCTACTTTTTCCCCCCCTTGTATCAGTTTATTTTATCCAAGTTTTAGAATTTATTAGAATAAAATTGTTTCTAAGATTGCTATTTTCCTTCACAATTTTCATGGGGCTTATAGCTTTTCAATTTTAATTTAAAGAAATGTGTTAGTTGTGCATGTTTTTAGCACATAATGATTACTTTCATAGTGGGGAGTTGGTACTTGCACCTAACCCATCTTTTTACTTTCTCTCCCCCCCCCCTTCCTTTTTTGTTCATAAATAACATGGATGAGTTACTAAAATAATTTTCAATGAAAAAAGTTGTGAAATAATGAGTGCTTTTATAAGATTCCCCACCCCAGTATATTGAAGTTAATGTTTTTCTTAAATCTCCAACTTGGAACCTCTTAAATTCCTGATGAGAAGCCACTAGTCTTTCATGCCTCTTGGGCATTTAGCATTAGAAGCAGAACATTGTCTATTTTGACTGTTCATCACAATTATTTTTAGTGTAGAACCATGAAGTGGTGATGATTTTGAACTGCTTTTATTAGTGGCTAGTGCTCATAAATATGCTTAAAGGAACAATTAACTTTTTAGTCTCAGATTTTTCTTCACTACATACTGATCAGGTGGATACATTTTTTCCTCAGGCGCAATAAACATGTGCTTTTTACGGTGGGCATCTGTTTTATGAAATGAAGAAAATTTTAATTGAAATGTTACTCTTCATTGCAGTTTTCAAAATTAGAAATTTCTCAGAAATTTTACTTAGGTTTTTTTTGCGCGGGGGGCTGGCTCCGAACGCCTTCAGGGCAGGTTTGGCTGGCTTGAGTCCTGGGGATCGAACCACAGCAGCCTGAGCCTGACTGCTTTGTGGAAGCAGCCGCTTGAAGAACTGAGCTAAGGGGCAGGCCCCCTACTTAGTTTTGAGGACATTGAAATTAATACATTCAGCTGATCTTAGTCATATAATTCTGACTTTATAAATGATTGTGCTTCAAAATTTCAGAATTTGTTTTCATAGAATTAATTTCATAAGCCAGCTGTGGTGGCCCACACCTGTAATACCAGCTCTTAGGAGTCTGAAACAGGAGGATCATTGTGAATTTAAGGCCAACCTAAACTGTATAGCAAGCCCAAAAATGAATGTCATAAAGGAACAACTTGCTTATGCTGTTGTACATTGGACTCAGTTGGGAAGCTTATTAAAAATATTATCTAGGGCAATATGTGTGTGTGTGTATTGTATTTACTTTTATTTTTTGGCAGTAATGCTAATTGAACCCAGGGTCATATTCATGTTAACCAAGTGATGTACCACTGAGCTACACTTCAAGTTCTTTTAAAAACATTTTATTTTGAGACAGGGGCCTACCAAGTTGTCCAGACTGGCCTTTATGCCTCAGGTCTCTGAATAGCCTTAATTACAGGCATGTGCCACCCTGCCTGGTGGGGCGGCTGCATTTTAATAAGCTTCTACACAGTATGAACACACAGCAATGTGTGAGAGCCATTGTTTAAAAAGTAGGGGTTAGATTCTGGGACCAGCCCATAATTGTCTATTTAACTCATTACCAAACCAGTTTAACTATTACATTGGTTACATAATTTGTTTATGTAGAACTAATATTTTGTCTGCTCTTAAAGGGATTTGGGATTGCTTGGGAGTTAAAGTAATACAAATAAAAAATGAAAAAAAAAACAAAAACCCAAGATACCAGCTTGTAGCAGTTGTGTGTGTGCATGTATGTGTGCATGTGTATGTGTTTTGTCTTTTGAGACAGGGTCTTGCTATGTAATTCAGGCTGGCCTTCCATTCACTGTGTAGCCCAAGCTAGGCTTGAATTTGCAGCCATCTTCCTGCCTCAGCCTCATGAGTACTAAGATTACAGGAGTGTGCCACCACACTTGGCTTATAGGGGCTCTTAAATCAGAGTTGTCAAGGGACCCCTTTCCCACAGCATGGCCTAGCTATACCCCATATCTCTGAGGCAGAAACCTGGAACCTAGAAATGAGTCTAGGGATATACAGTTTGAAGTTTTCCCAGGATTTTCTGACCTAAATTCACAGCAAGATACCCTGAGAGATTCAGCACAGGTGGGAGAATGGTGGGCATGTGAACTTGCTGGAGCTTTCTGTCTGTCTGAAGCTGATTGTCAACTGGAATGCTTCTGTTCCTAGAATGTAGGATATTGTTTTAGGGGTGGACAAGGCCATAGGGTAAAGGCAGGTAACTTCTTGGGTAACCATGTTAAATTGAGGAGGTGTTTATTTTTCTGTTAATATAAACATAGGTTTATTATGGAGTATAATTTAAAATTCACACAAATTTTGCTTTGTTCTTCACACACATTTCTAACGTAAAACATGGTTTCCATTTGTGTAGTTGGAGCTGATGCTTGGCTTGTGTCCTAATCTGTGCTCAGATTTGTGCTCTTAGAGTACAAATTTTTTTTTTTTTAATTTATTTATTACATTTATTTATTGTATGTGTGTGGCCAGCTCAGCCCACCAGGGGGCGGGGCTGGCTGGCATGTGGTGCTGGAGGATTGAACCGCGGTCCCTGTGCTTTGCCAAGCT